TGTTTAAGTCTTTAAAGCTATAGCTGCACTGCCATAACAGGCAGCACCCCACTCCTCTTTTGTAAATCTAAGCCATACCTCAGGTATGTTTCAGTTTTTCTAACCTTGTATTCTTCCCTAGGCTGACTGGCCACAGCCTCTATAGCCAAATGCATTTCCTGGATTTCTATTCCCTGTTAGTTTCCTGCACAACCCAGAGTTTGAATTGGCAGCATGATGTTCAGTTGTCTGAAATCATTCAGTGTGTTTGCCATTTCAGTTCTTAGCTTGCCCACCCAAATTACATAGGGACAGAAATCAGATTTTTTTCTTTTCCTTATTAAAGAAGAAAGTCAAACGGTTTTCATGCCTCTTGGAAACTGCACGTAACAGTGCTGGAAGACTTAACTATTAGCACAATATCTGGAGAACAAAAATAGCTCAAATTTGAACTTCCCGGAATATTACAAAGGCCATATTTGGAGAGGGCATATGTTGTCTGGCATGATGAAGGGGTAAGAAGTTCCTGTTGGAATAATTGTTAATGCTACTGGCATTTTATTGCTACTGACTGTTGGTATATCAAAGCTGTGGATAGGTAGCTTTAAAAATAATCCTGAATACCTACCTTCAGCTCCAGAGATCTTGCTTGCCTTACACCAGTTCTGAAGAATCAGGTTCTTTCATAAATAGATGCAGCTCTACCAAGTCAGGGAGACTTGTAATTGCTTATATTTAGCTTTGTAAAGATTGAGGATGGCATGGCGTAAGGTAAAAGATTGGATCGGTTTTCCACACTTGCTTTCACACTCTTTTTACATTGTTTGTATTCTGCTTAAATGCAAGTTAGCTGTGGTGTTACTCACATTTTATACTGGGGTGAGCAAGGTCTCCCTGAAATCATAGAAACCAATGATGTAGGAGAAAATAGGCCTAATGTTTTTCCTACTCTGCCCCCTCCCGATTCTTCAGGCCCTGCAAGGCAGTTCAGGAGTGCCAGGCTTCACACCATTTATTTCTGCACAGACCTAATCCTGAGTTGGCCTTGGGAGCTGTCACTTAGTTCAGGCTGCATTTGATAGGACTCAAACAGTTCCCAGTTTTGGAAAACTTCCATTCCAACTACTTGGCCCTGTACCTGTCTCAGGTTTCTATATCAAGGAGTTTAGCTAGTTCCACTTCAAAGTCTCTATTTATTTATATCTTTTTAATACTGAGCCATAAATAGTGCTGAGCACTGCCACCTCCCAAATTGTGCTCTTGGGCACCTGTCAAACAAATGTGTCACACAAAGGAGAAGATAACAGTTCATATTCACTTAACTCCTTGAGCGCCCAGGGCAAATATCATGAATTAAGTGGGAAAAGATAGGTGATAGCAAACCTGCAGCAAAAGGAAGATGTAAAAGGAAGGATGGTGACTTGTGTGATTGTGTTTGATGCCCTGATCTGATGCGGGAAGATTTTTCTTATGTAACCAAGCTTAAACCCAGCATTTACCCTCTTGCTCTGTTTCCCATTTGTAGAATGGGAACAGGTGACATCACTTTACCTTACTGGGGGCAGGGAAGCAAGGATAAATTCAGCGAGGGATACAACAGTGTGTCAGGGGGCGTATGAATAGTGTGGTAGAAGTCCTGACAAAGATACCACATTTGCCCAGGCTGCTTTCTTATAAAGCAACTGAGTTCAAGAAAACTATATAGCCCCTCATCCTCCTGACAGCACAGACAACGTGATCTAGCTAGACCCTAGATTCCCCAGTGCTGAGAGCTGGAATGACAGCAGTGCTCTTTTTTTTTACCCCCAGATTAGCAAGACCTCCTGGGACAGAACAGGAGACCGCAAGTGAGAGGAGGAATGACAAAGCAATGAGTATAATTATTCCTTTGCTTCTTGAAGATGCTCAGAAGAAAATCTAATTTAGCAATGTCTGGAGGAGCCCCTGACTTATGCTTGAGGTTTGTAGGACTTAAACTAGGACTGAATGCTTTTTTAAAAAAAAATAGGGGGAGACCCCAACAAAATGGAGTGTGCAGCGTAACAGCAGCACCTCACCCAGAGCTGCAGTGCTGAACATGGCATCACATTGAAACCAGCTGGTTTTAAATGGATTCTGGTACAGTGTGAGCTCACTCTCACTCAAAGCCTCTCCCTTGCTGTGCCCAAACTGCAGCTGTGCTGGGGTGTGGGGTGCGTGCTTTCTCCCTGCCGTGAGGGACACTCTAGGGCCTTCAGCCTCATTGAAAAACAAGGGGCACACAGCAGAATACTTTAAAATGGCTGGTACTTCTCCATATAGACTTACTGCCCTCCCGTGGCTGCCAAGGAGCATCTCTAATGCAGAAACAGGGAGACCAGAGACTGAGGGAAACAAAGAAAAATAACTATATATTCAATTTAAACCAAAACGCAATTTGAGTTACAAGGAAGAGGAAGGCAAACACACTGTGTGATTAACTGGAAGTACCTAGGAAGGCAAGAACAAAGCAGAGAAATTTACTGGTTTGGGAGTAGCAGGGAGACCTCCAAATACTTTGTTTTGCAAGGACAGTGGGCCTTGAGCTATTCTTCACCAGAGTCCCATCGATGAGAGCCATTTACTCAGAGAGATGGTCCATCTAACTTCATCCCATTGCCCCATGGAGGAGACTTCGCTAGCAACTGGTGCAAAGAAGGTATGGGAGAGCAGACCACTGCTCCTTTTCCTGACTGTGGTAGACCTGTGCTGTGACCTTGCTGTATCTACTAACCATGACTGGCCCAGCTTCAGCAGTGTTTATAAAGCTCTTGCTGAGACACCTCATATTGCAAATGTGTCCTTTTCTCTCTGAACCAGAAGGAGACAACATTTCTAGCACAGACTGACGCCTTTCTGAGGGACTTCCCTTAAGAGCCTGAAGTTAGGTTTTATGAATGAGACCTGGAGTATCCGATGAGAACTGCTGTGGAAGCACTGCATGGTTCTGCAAGGAGTGTCCTGCAGAACTTTCTTTACGACTGTGCTGCTTCTTGTGTACCCTCTGTGGGCAGAATGCATCTCCAGTCTTTGATGCACAGTAGACACTTTAAACAAAACAACCCCAAAGCGATCAAAACCAAAAGCAACAATGAAGTGGCAAGAGGAAACACAGCAATAAGCACAAGCAGCAATTGCGTGGTCAGAAGGTAACAATGCCAAACTGGCTGAATTGCACATGATTCTAACAGAGGCACTAAATGCCGCAAGGAAGCCGCATATCTCCCACCAGTGAAAAGCTTGGGTTTACATTAGGCAGGCTTACCACAACATTTTTGTTCGTGGACTTAGCTTCAGTCTTAAACATTAGAGATTGGTGTGCCCAAGCCACATTTGAGACTAGATGCAATGAGACACTCATTTTAGACTGGAGAGGAGGCGTGGGTGTGACAGGGATCATGTAGGAAAATGCCAACACATGGCACCTCCTATAGGACTTCAGGCTGTTGAGTGACACCTGCATCAAGATGGGCGTCACCCCAGCCTACCTGACAGCTGTGCTTTTTCAGGGATGCGCATCAGTGGGAGTATTAGGATTTCTTCAGGATGAAAGAGACTGCAGTTCAGAAGAGCATGCAGCAAGTTGAAAACAGCGAACGAACGTAGTAGACAGACAAATGCTTTGCTCATTCAAGTTACCAGGTCACTGAGTCAGTATCTCATGTAGTAGCCAACTAAGGAGTAGAGTAAATCCTGCCCTCTCCATTTTCACATCTTAGGCCATGCTGCACAATGTTAACATCACGAACAAAACTTCACTTTATGCACAGGTGAAAATGTCAAATGAGATGAGAAATCACTCTATATCGTTTTGAAACTTGTGTGTATGTGTGTAAATACACACATAAACACACACAGTGAATATATATATTTGTAGTAAATACATACGAACTTTTACACAATTAAAACCACTCTAGTGTATATATATGATATACTCCTATCATTCACCAGGACAATACATTTTGTTGCACTGACAGAATCTGTTGCTCAGTTACCTTTTAAATTACAGTTTTTATAAGTTATGCAGAATTGCTCAGTGGAAGGCCAATCTTTGGCAAGCACAAATCTGCAGAAAACCACCAGCTCCAGTAGTGATCCTTCAATATTTTAAGGTACCCCCTAAGTTTCCTTCAAATATCAACTCTGCTTTCATAGAAATAAATTGTTTCTAACAATATTCTACAACCCTGTGAAGCCAAGCAGGATTTTTTCTTCTAGTAGATATAAATATTTCACATCCTCTCTACACCATGCAATGCAAAAAGTAAAATCATGTTTGCAAGTGATTATATTACGATTTGGCCCCATAACTGTTTTAGTTTAAAAAAAAAAAAAAAAAAAAACCAACCCAAAACCACACCAAACCCAAACAAAAAACAAAAAGAAAAAACAACTCTCACATAAACCTTAAAAATCAGCAGACAGAGCTCTAGTGATTTATGTTTCCAAAGGAAATACCTTTTAGTAATAATTAACTCTCTCTGCAGCTGTTAAGTCCAAACATTGCAAATGTAAGAAATGAGGACAGAAAACTAAACAAAGAGCAAGAATTACCTACTTGTCCAAACTGAGACACACACAACTTGTAAAAACCTTTACGCGCTTTTTAAAAATTTGTTTGAATCACCTGTGTGATGTCCTTGTTAAATATCAAAGTAGATTAGCTTCAACAAGTCTATTGGAAAAAGCACTACCTTAAAAATACATAGTTCAAAGCCTTATCTAAAAAGTGTTTTCAGAGATAAAATTCTACATCTCTCAATGACATTGCATTATTCTCAAAACCTTGCATAATGTTACATTTTGAAACACTGACATTGATTAGCTGTCAAAAGAAAACAGAGCTTATTTGCATAATAGACAGTCAAGTAAAAAAAAAATCACAGAACTTGGCTATTTCTAAAAAACTGACTCTCAGAGTAGAAATAAAATTATTTTAAAAACTGGAGAAAACATTAAGGTTCAGTCAGACCTGTATTTTTCACTGGCAACAAGCACTGTGATTTTTTTTTTTTTAAATGAACTCACTTGAGGCTGTGTAAATATTCCTAGCCTTAATGATGTCTTATGTAGAGTAATGTAACAGCAGGTTAAAGTTTGCACCCCCCTATTTTGATACAAACTATGACAGGGTATTTCCAAAAGAGTCCCTTTGACATTAAATAGCTATTTTAAAATTTGTAATTAAAAAAACTAATCTTTAAACAGTACCAAAAACTAGGTAAACCAAGCCTCAATCAGTGGTAAGAGGACCTCTTCGTAAAGGGCAGGTAAATCCTCCTGTGGAGTGGTTACAACAATGCACAGAAATGACACCAGAAATACACACCAGAAGTTACAGGTCAACTGATTTACTGGAGTTGTGCAGTAATTTCCACCTTATGGTAATTTAAAGATTGTGGTATGGACCCAGAAAAAGATTTCCAAAACGATAAAATGCTGAGAGGAGACAGGGAAAAGTATCTGTCTTCCCACGCTGAGGATCTGATGGGCTGGAACGGGCAGCCCTGCCTTCAGCTGTGAGCTGCAGTGGTGGATGCACTCAGAACCAGAAGCCTGATGTTTAAACGTCCCACCACTGACATCCTGTCTAGATCCGTCATGGCTCACTGTGTCCCACTAAGGTCAGAATAAATAGCCATTTGGGGCAATTTCAACAGAAGTTGTGTGCACAGAGGCCAGCTTATAAAGTTCAGCCTCGCTTCTCTAATGCTGACGACCAGGTGTAATGCACTGCTCTGTTCTGTGCACGCTGGCTGCTATGCTTTTCTGATTACAAGTACGACTTACTTGCACCGCATGCTTGCACAACACTTCAAAAGTGTGAAGCATTAGCAATTCTAGAGTACAGTTAAACTTGATTGCAATTCCAGGACTAAAACACCTTAGCTTCTGGAAGCACAGATCAGACCCTTCACCTCTCCAGTGTCCCATGCTACATACAGGTTTCTGTGCTCACAACAGCCAGTGTGCACATCAAATAACATAAAAGTAATGCGCTGACATCAGCAGTGACCCAGGCTTTTCACTGGAGTCCAAAAGTCCTGTGAAAAATCTCAGTTTAACATGTAACTATTAGATTTTTAGTACACATCATGTCACAGAGTTAGTGTTTTCCTTACAAATATATGGCACTAAGTGTAAAACTTTATGACTTATTCCAAACAGTGTACGATACTTCACAGCAAAACTTTAAAAAGAATCCTCTAACTCCCACTTCTTCTAAATATACAGCTGGTGGGAGGCCAGGGTGTCCATGAACGGTCGCACAAGGTTGTCTGTCGAGAAGTAAAAGACCAAGCCAAAGGTAATGGAGATGGGAAGAGCAGGCAGTGCTTTCTTAAAAACAGCCAGTAATAAAAGAGTTAAGCATAAACCCTGCCAGAGAGAATAAAAAACACAAGGAGATATAGTAAGAAGCCCAGAAACACATCTGTCATCAACAAACTAATACACAAATAATAAGCTATATACACTGTACAGCAATTGAAGCCTGCCTGAGCTACCAGTGGCATGAGGTATGCTTGCCCACACCTTCATCTTTCACACAAGCTGGCCATGTATTTTCTTCAGCAATCTTGAGCACAGCTCTCTGCCGAGAAAGTGATATAAACAGCTAGTGCTGACATAAAGCTGACCCCGAGAAGTTAATTTATTTACAGATTATTTTACATTTTGTTCTATGCCATTATCTATGAAGTACTGATCCAGCAGATAAAAGCACTTAAATCCTGATGAACCACACAGATAAGGAGTTTCACTGGAGGACTAATACACAGCAGCATGTACTTCTAACACCTTCCCAGTTTTCCAGGTCTCTTGGGGTAAAAGACAACAAAAAAAAACCCCAAAACATCCACTGCTGTTGTTTTGACTGGATTGCTTACTATGATAGGTGAATTCTGGTTTTATCTGGACAGCAGGCCAAGAGCTGGTTTTTTGAGCATGTGTGAAAGCTTTTGTACATTTTGGGTAGACAGTATGCCTAAGTGCATTTAGGTATGGATTCCTTCTCTCATCTGAGCCCTTTTTTTTTTCCTCCATGATGACAAAACTGCAGAGACACTAGGCTCCAAAAATTTTAACAGCACCGTAAAAGAAACAGAATGGGACATTTTGCCTCATGGACAGACAAGAGAGAACACTCCCACCAGCGAAGGGGCCCTGTGCTGGACCCTAGGATATGGAGCTAGGTGATCCTTTAGGTTTCTCTGACCTGTGAGGTAGGAAAGCTACACTCAACACACTTTATTTACGTTAGTTCATTTCTAGTTCTCATGTTTTTTGATCCGTGATCTTCACAAGTGAAAGTCACTGTCTTTCACTATCCTTGGGATCTAAGTGAGGAAAGGGAGGCCCAAGAAGGACGGGATAATTCATTTTCTTCTACCTTCTATAACTCCTGCTGTTGCCCTTCTGGCTAGTTTCTATGAGGATGCTGGTGTAAACAGCAAGTTCCTAGTAATTATTTTCTACCTAGGTGAAGGTTCAACAGTGTGTGGTCATTAGACCTGGCAGGACCAAGTCCTTTAGCAGTTACAGTATGATTGTCATCTGCTTTTACTGACAATTTCCAAGGATTTTTAAGTGTCCTTCCTTCCTGTTTTTTCCAGCATGAATAGAAGAACAAGATAGGTCTTCATCCTCTTATTTAGCCGTTCTCCTTAGCAAAAGGGAGTTAACCTTTTCAACTACACTTGATAATCTATGTGGAGTTCATAATATTGACTTTTGTGGCTGACAGAAGTCCGCCATCTTTAACACTGAAGCAAACACACTAACAGTTCAGCTGTAACTGTTTTCCCTGGGGCTGTTTCACCCCCACCATCTCCACACTTGGCTCTGCTCTGAGGAATCCTCCCTCCCAGCCCGTATCGTTCAGCTTCTCCCAGCGGCTGTTTAAAGCCTGTCTTTATAGACAGAGCACTGGGCTGGGAAATCCACTGGTGGTTTCTCCTAAACACCCAGCATGCTACCTGCAGAGATTTAGCAGTGCTCAGCTGCTAGTACTTCTGGCAACGCTGCTGTGCTAAACAGGCTGTAACCGAGTTTTTAAAAGCTTGCTCACTTACTATGAGAATGGCTACAAAGCAGGCCAGCGTAGTATTCCAGTCTCCACTAGCTGTGGCAGCTGCTTTCCCAACAAGCACACTGTAAAATATGAAGTCTCCAAGGCCCAGCTTCACACCCCCTGAGAGAAGTGGAAAAAGAAAAGTGTTACTTCTGCCCCTCCTGTTCTGCTTCCTCCTGAACAAATTCTTGTCCCCTTGGGAGCAGGTGAAGGTTCCTGCTTAAATTGTCCACGTCACCAAGAGATGTCACTGGAACCACAACCCCAGAACAGATACTGCAGCAGCAAGAAGTAATACAGAGTCAGACTCAAGATCTTTGTTGCTCAACAAGTCACAACTCTTCAAATTAACTATGATTAGGCCAAACTGGGTAACAGAGTGTTAACCACAGTGAGTAAAAACGTCAGGCGCCGACTCTGACTACACTGAAAACAAGATATGAAGCTTCCCTTACTTTCCTCCTCCTCGAGTTCCTCAAACGAAGTGATGGGGCGGGTTGGAGCAGGACTCCTCGTCTCCAACATCTGAGAGTCTGCGTGTGAAGGGCTCCTGTGGTTCTCTCTCCCATCCTCAGCTTGGTTCCACAAAAATGGGCCAAGAAGAGCAGACAAAACAAACACACACAAGCGGTAGCTACATTTATAACTTGTTTTAATGCAGGAAATCCACATTTCTGTGAAGCTTCTCTGGAATGGGTAAGCCCTTTGTTTCTTGGAGGTGTGATCATCAGGACCAATTCAAGCAGAGCCATTTAGTGGCTTTGAGGAAAACACACGTTATTATTTGAAACAGTCGGAAGGGTACACATTCACAGCTTCCTTGGCAGCTACCCAGGTGTTCAATGGCTTTAACAAGTGAGTACATACGCAGAACTAAGCATTGCTCTGCACAGGCTAGCATAACAAGTAAAACCGAGTAAACTTAATATGCACTCCCACATTATTATATCTTTGGGGTGGAGGTGCTCAGGTATTCCTTAACTGGTGGTATGACAAAAATGGATGACTAAGAGGACTGCCATTTATGAGAAAAGTTCTGCCCTGAATCACACTGACATTGGGGCTGGGTGTTCACATGTAGTAAGTGGACACATTTCGTTGTTCACATATTTAATTTTTTTTTGTCCTGTTAAAAACATCTAACAGAGCCCTTGGTAGTGCTTTTGGAAGCAGCCAGTCTATGATATAGTACTCTATCTGACAGTTCCTATTTTTCAGAAGCGCTCATACAAACTTTCCAGTCCATGTCAGTCTGACAGGATGCTGCCGCTGCAGATGCAAGCAGACTGTGTTCCGGGACACACAGGGCTTCACAGTGGCATTCTGTATGCCTCAGCATGTAGTTTGCTCCTGCTCTGTGCCCAGTTTCAAAGCAGGATTGTGTCCCTGTGCTTTGTTAGTATGTCAGCTGCTTTATCCTGAAATAAGCAGCATGTTCAGTTATCAAGCCTTAGCGTACATTTATTGCTTTAACATAAAAAGATACTGTCATCTCTGAAGTGCAACAGGACCAGATGGGAAATCCTCCCAACACCACAAGTCAGATTTTATTCATTCACCTTCAAAACTGCAGTTTAACTTGCATTTCAAGAAGATAAAACCAAAGGCACAAAAATTACCACAGGACCGGCTAGAATGTAAACTTGGAACATATCAGCTGCTGTTGGGTAACTGCCCAAACATAAGCCCTTACCCAAGGGTAAATGTAAAGATGTTCATTTTCTTTGGCAGGGTAAGCCATATTGCACTTAAAGCTAGGTAGAAGCATGTCTGCTCCGTGGCAGTGGCCTGAATGCAACACACTGCAACGCACTTAAGTTCACCAGCTCATCGGCATTATATTTATGAGCCTATGTTGTAATTTACCAACCCCAGCTAGTAAAAATAGAAACCCCCAGTAGCCCACTTTCAGCTTTGACTTCAGTACATCTGAAGATGTGTGTTGGATAACACTTTTGTTGGGTTTTTTTGGTTTGTTGGTTTTTTAAATAAAGGCATCCTGAACACTGGAGCTTCCTACACCGTCTGGTCATCTTTGCTGCCAGCCCAAACAGCAGGTTTCAGAACATCACTGAGTTCTGCAACTAATGTATCAACAGTGAAAAAAAATGCATCCGTCAAGGTTCAGGGGCTTACATTTACTTGCAGTCTCAAACACACACATTCTTTCCATGGGACAGTACTCTCTATAGAAGCGTGACATGCAAGCAAACCTGCATCCCACGTCTGCTGACTTGGTCCTCCTGCTGCTGTGTCTGGCTTTGCCATTCCAACTGTCCACATCATAGCAGCTAGAAGAAAGACAGAAAGTAATCAGCTGCATAAAACATCGGTCACTATAGCTCAGAGGAGCTAAGTATTTAGCTGTCCCTAAAAATACAAACACTTGCTCCTGTAAATGCTTTTAAAACACTCACTCTTAGTTGGTTTCCCTAGGCACTTAGAAGGCAAAGTGGAAGAAAATTAAGGCAGTGCATCTATTCAGTTTTTAAGAAAGTCCCAGAGCACAAATAGCTAAGAGTCAGCATAGTCTGCTCTGTAGGCTAAAGAGAGCAAAAATCCAGAACTAGGGTCCTCATCCCCTTCGTTTTCTTCCTGGCTTCTGACTCTTCTCTTCAAAGAAAACAGTTGCCCAGGAAATGATGGTAGTACAAAAGGTAACCAGAGGTTAACTTACACAGCTTACTCCTCATGTTCTGCTAAAGGTAAAGCACACAAGTGCAGGAGTCAGGGTGCGTTTATCTCTGCCTGTTTGTTTTGGTTCTTTCCTGTCAAAATATTGGCTATTTCTGTTTTGGTTCCAAGAACAACTGAAGCATGTTTGGGGGTTTATTCTTGAGATGGATCCCTAAATTAAAAAGGAATACAAACCATTCTGAAGTCAGTGGAAGGGAACTCAAATCAGCTGTTTATGTAAGGGTGCATCAGTCTTCCTGTTTTTATAGAAGCTAAACTAAACAAAATAAGCCAAGGCAAACACAGTGCCTGCTTTTCCACTACAAGCTCACCCAAGGTGATGTTTTTGCATCTAGAGAGAGCCACAGAATGTGGTCTTGCAGTGGAGACACTGATGTTCTTGAATTGCATTCTCCTTTAGAGAAACTCTTGTTTGTTAACTAAAACATGTGAGAGACTTCATCTAGATTGTCTCAGGTCAGTATAACAGAATCTCCAGTAAAAGGGAGGTCAGCTGAAGCCAACAGAAGCTCTGCTTGGAACATATAAAAGCATTTATATAACATTAAATGCTTGGGAAAAAAAAAAAGATGAATTGGGTTGTGGGCATCCTCAACTTAGCACCTAACATTTGGAAATACCCGTTCATCTTACAAGCGATGTAATGAAAAAGTCACTGAGGTCCATGAAGCACTTAAGTCCAGGTCCCATGAGTGTTGAGTCACCTGCCTTCCAACTGCCTTAACCTTAAGCACCTTTGTGGATAAGGGCACCGGACACCATCATAGTTAAACAGCCCAAGAAAGCCAAGGAAGAGACGACTGATTTTGTTTGCAGAGCAATACTTGAATAGAGCCCTTTACAAAGCGAGCAGCCACACAATGAACAATAAAGCAAATATATTCTAAGCACTGCCATCCGTACAGTGCACAGAGCAAGAGGGCTACAAGAAAAATGGAACCTCATCACACGTTTAAAGTGTGTCTATAAAGTGTATGCACAAGGAATAAGTGTACTGAGCGAGCATCATCTAATCACAGAACCTCGCAAACACTATTGTCCATCTAACACAGGTTTTGTATGCAGAACTAAGGGGCATGTTCCGCACTGTATTCACGAAGGGATAAATCTACTTTTGAACATTTCAGCTTCACAAGGCAAATGTGGGCTCCCTTTGGCTAATTAGAGTTAGCACCATTGTAACTGATAAACAAGGCCTTCTACAAATGGTCTGTTCCAGAGCATAAATGTGCACCAATCTTAGGGCGAGGAAGTAACTAAAATAGTGCTCTTTGGTTTGACACAGAAACAGGTTACGAGTTTAATCTGGTTAAAAACATTAATATTCTAATCTTACTCACAGGAATATATTAATGCAGGAAAAATGGGCTCATTTCTCTCCTGTGCAGTTTCTACCAGCATTCTCAGTGGCCCCTTGGGACAGAGAACAGCCATCAGATCTGCAAAGAGAAAAGGGCCAGACAACCTCATCTCAAACTATTATGCATATTTTACATTCTTTATCTTTAAAAAGCTATTCTCCCCTCGAAATTACATCTATCGATATTAACTGGATGATTCCCTGAATGGCAGTTTCTGCCACTTTGCATAACTCTAGCTGTTCTAGTCCCTGAAGATGTTGTTCTCTTAAAATACCATCCCCCACGCTTAACGTAATAATAAGAGTTTTGATTGTGCTAATCCTATAAAAAGCCTCTTGAGAATACCATGTTATTTCTTTGAAAGTGGATGACAGCATTACATCGAGGTGTTAAATTTAATTAGAGGAGGACTGGGGGTACTTTGTTCACATTCCACAATCCATCGCTACGTACGCTGACTGTGTTTCACATGAATGAAGGCCTTTGGTCCAGTTCCTCTTTGCCTACCCTCTCTCCTCCATCAGAGCTCCTCACCAATCTGAATGTTACCTCCCAGCCGCTTCTTGTTCTGCAGGTTCTCTTGAAACTTTTAACTCATATCAAAATCCATGATCTGTCGATAACTGTAAACAAAACCACGCCTACCATGCAGTCAGATGTGGTTCAGTACTTCCCTGACTTGGTGTTCCACTTCAAAAGACATGGTAGGGGTACAGTACCTACATGAACAAGTTAGCAAGAGACAAGCCAGGGAGTCAACTCAATTGCCCATCTGCCTCTTTCTAAAGCTGTTAGCACCATAAAGTTGTTTTTTGAATGACATACACAGTCCTGAGATTGCCTCAGAGTAACCTCTCCATGAGCCACACCTTGAGAGTCACAACCCAGACTTACCATAGATGGATATTGCACCTAGAATCACCCATGCTGACCACTCAGGTAGATATTTAATGAAAACCAGTGCCATCAGAGCACTGATCATAATGAGATACGCTTGCTGGAGCTGCAAGGGACCTTTCCAGTGTATGCAAATCATTCCAACAGCTCCAAAATTCCAGATGACTAAGAACAGAGTGGGGTAATCCATGGCCACGTTGTACGTCTTCAATACTTCACTGGAATACAACAAGAAAATTTAGCTAAGCAATAAAAGCAACAGACACGCAAAGCATCCTACTAGCTGTAGTTAAACAAACCTCCTGCTACACCAGGAGGAAGCAGGATAGAAGCAGCTCTCATCATGAAGGGGGAACCTGCCTTGCGGCCAACTGCTGCTCTTCACTCTCTGTTCCTCCTGCAGGAGATGGACATGCTACGTGCGCAAACAAGCACCACAGTGCCTTAGTCCTAAGGTCAACAGGGATTCCAAGGGTTTGAGCAGGCAGGATTTCAAGTCTTAACTGAACACAGGCCTGTGGCTACATGACCGTCTGCAGCAAAGAAGTCATGTAAGAGTCATCCCACCAGATGCATGATGCTCACAGTCAAAGATGAAAAGTTTTAACAAGTGTCACCAGCAAGTTAAAAGCTTGGTTCTACCTGAACTGGGAGCTAAGGGAATGAGCTCGAAACAACGTAGTCTGAGAAAAAGGCAAGACAAATCAGAGAACCAACTCAGCACATAAAGTTCCTTTCCACTTGCTTCTCAACATGTAATTCAGGGCCTCTGTACCACGAGGTTCAGCCTGTTCATTTCATGCTCGTGGTATTGCTTCCCAGTGATTTTTGTAGAGTAGACACTGTAAAATCAGGCATTGCCTATTAAAGACCTCATTTTCTATTTTTTTTTTTTTTTAAGAAAGCTATCTCATTCTAACAATTTTTAAACCTCCATTTGGAGAAGGGGAAATATTCCTTTCCTTGTTCAAGTTGGGGATTTTCTGCAAAGAGGTGAGGGAGCCCTGAACTGCCAGGTTACCTGCACCATTCCCACTTACCCGAGATATATGTAGGTAAAGAGGAAGAGCAGCATCAAAGAGGACAGGATGAGCCAGCCATGGATGAACTATCAAGGGCAAGAAGAGACAGTAATTGAAGGGGCTGTTCCCCCTCGCGCAGGTCACGGTGCTGCATGCACTATTGACAGAGCTTCCTATTGTCCAACAGTTTCCTTCCTCACTCTTCCTCCAGTTTCCAAAGACCCTGCCTTCCCCACTGCCAGTGAGGGAGGAGGGACAGCCAGTTGCTCCCAGTTCTCCCAAACTCTTACATTTTTTATTCTATCCCTTGGTGTTTGTTTTCATTGGTTTGGCTGGTTTTTTTTAGTCTCTTTCCTATCCATTTCCATGGGTATCCATAGTGGCTCCTAGCTTAGACAGGTAAGCACATCCTCTCTGCTTGGTGGGGAGGAGGAGAGGTTTGCCCAAGGCTGTACAATAAATCCATCTCAGGGCCAAGTTTAAAAAGCAGCAATGGCCAGTGCTCAAATGTTGGGCTGGTACCACATATAACAACTCCCTGGGCACCACAAAACCTGAATGTGCCTTTCCCTCCAAGCCTTGTCCCCTTCCACCAGAGCCTCCACAGGCAGGAAGAATACCAGTTTCCCCAAAGCTTGTCTGAACCTTCTTAAGAGAAGGCACTTGCAGTAAATGGTACAAACTGCAAAACCTCTTGATCAGGTGGAGAAGGCTCAGACCTGACTAACACAAAGTAGCAGGCCTTGTTTTTAAGAGCCTACCATTAGCGACAAAATAACAGCAAAGCATATTCGGGGGCACAGCTCTACCACCACTGACAACGGCTTCTGTACAGTATGATTCTTGCTATGACTAAGATGTGGACTAGCCAGTGCAGTGCCTGTATCTCTCACTGACACGCAAGGCCCACTTGAACTCAAGTTCACAGCATATAGGTGGAAAAGGCTCTGGCGTGAATGCTTTACCTTGTAGCAGCGATATTTATAGAGCAGAACTAGGAACACCGTCATTACAACGATGACGCTGATCATTATGATGGTGTTCAACACCGAGTTCAAGAGACGCTGGCCCACAGATGGGGTATCCTCACTGAAAGGGGTGTAGATCCTGCAGGATAAAGCAAAAGCCATACAAAGTACATACATTCTCTTCTAACTAACTGCCCCAAGATAAAACCAGACCTCTCTGTGTGTGGGAAAGAAGGGGAGGTATGACTGCCAAGGACAGCAAACATGAGATGTAGCCTCTGAAGGGGCTGGGCTCCAGTTAATTATCAACTAAAGATTAGTGGTCTCTATCAAAAGCACATTCCTACAGCAAAGCTGTGGCTGGCAGAGCTCTAAACAAAACGACCTAGAGTATAAATGACTTCATTTAAGTTTGGTAACTTCTCTCCAGGCCACAAATTTTTATTGCATGCTCTGGACCCTCTCGATGATAACCATAAAGATACATCCCAGGTGCTGTCCTGAAAGGGGGGGACCCTTTCTTTCCACACTTGATGGGAGGGTCTTGGACTCTTTCATCACCCCGCACCCCCACCATTTTGTTTCCTTTGGTTCAGTTCAAGGGACCACAGTCCCCGTTTCTCCACCTGCCGTGTGAAGCACAGTTAGAGCCCCAGGAGTGCTCTCAGGCACAGTGAGCAAGAGCTGGATGGAATTACGTATCCACACCATGAGTCTTTAGGAACCAGAAATGTCATCAGGAAATGAGACACTCATCCAAATGAACATGCTATTCCCCGATTGCTGCCAGCTAGTGGGTGAACAGACTAGGAGTTCAGCCTGGGCCTTTTATGCTGCAGTATGAAGCAACTTCATTATTACGCTGCTCACAGGCTTCACTTATGACAGCACTAACGAATCAGTGTAATGCAGGTATGGAAAGACTCACACAGATGAACGTAGCATACTTTAGTAAGATCTTTGTATGTTTACACAGCCACCTTTAGCTGTGTAAAGGCTCTCCCAACCTGCCAAGGAAGTACTCTGTGTACACAGACACGCGTGCGTGGAACGTATGTGTAAAGCTAGGGATCCCATGTACTCAGAGGCTGTTTTGAAGACCCCACTTACAGCTGCCCGTTTTTCTCCGTATAGAAGCGCACTGACTTTATGGTGGCGACGACAACAATCATACAAAGGGTGACAGGCACAAAGAGCATGATTACATGCTTTGCTCCATATTTCAGAGTCAGTTCCTCCTCTTCATTTTCCAAGGCGCTTTCTCTCACTGGAACACCCGAGTCAGACATATCCCCATCAGCAATATTGTTAGGGCTACGGCTGCTACCTGTTCGCCTCTTCTGAAAAGAAATATTAGCAAATATATAAGACCTTCTTTTCTATGTGTTCAAAGCTTCATTCCATCATATTTCAACTTGTTCCTAATAGGAAGGTACCAATTGAACAATACAATTAGAAATTCTGTTACAAATAGGCTGCACTGGAGTTTTTAAACCAAAACCATGAATATCTAAGGGCCTCTTCAAGTCCAAATATATAGATAGACACATGCACATGAAAGGCAAGGTGCACAGAACTGAGAAAGAAGAAACATCATCTGAGGTGGCATAAGCTTGATCAGTTCCTCCTCCCACAGCAATGCTGTGCTTGCTTTATCCCGATGCTTTGCTGGCAGCAGGACTAGATTCTGTTCTAACATTTGCTGCATTTGACCAGAACGGATAAAGGGTTCCTGGCAAAACAAGAAGGCTGAAAAGGATATCCTGCAAGAGTCATATGTGCATCAGGTCCTGATTAAAAGCCTGTATCTTTACCAAAAGGAAGGAAAAGGGAGGAGTATATATGGAGATGAAAAGGGGGAAAAGTCACAGTGGAGGAAATAGGAACAGGCACTGCTGCTGCTGGCTGAGAGAGTGACACCAGAGAAACAGCACTGGCCACAGCCAGTCCTAGAAGCCAGTCTGCTGGGAGGGATTGAGGGGTAGCAGGACTACATCTATCATCATACCCCATTTCTTCACTCCCCGGGAAGGACGCATACCTACCCTATGTGCCTGCACTTCCCCTGCTTGTGAGGCTTGCAGGCCATCCTGGTAGGAGGGTACTGGCGGGCTCTCTGCAGACATCAGGGATGTTCTCTCATTGCAGGGCTCCTCCTCGCTGTCCGAGTTGTTCATGAATGCGATCATTATCGCTTTCCCAGGGAGCACTCAGGAGGAGCACAGCCAAGCACTACTCAAGGCTGAGGGGACAAGCAGAGCAGAAGGAATGAGAAACAGTGAACACCGCAATGCAAACAATTGGAAGTCTGAAGAGGAGACAATTTCAGCAGAGAGGCTACAGCACGCTGTGGAACTCCATCTCCTTCTAACAGCTGACTTAGCCTGCTGTCACCCCAGGCATGACAATCCGTTCAGTTAAAGTCATGGTGACTTTTGCGGTCAGGGAGAACAGCAAAATGCAGCACTGAAGCAATTTAATACTTTTTCTTTGCCACAGGTTTCACAGTTGCCTCCTCTATTTTCCCTCTCCCATTAGTACACCTTGACTTTCACAAAGGAAGTTTCTTAGTGCTTAGTGTTCGTTTTGCATGGGCCAAACAAGGCTTCACCTCAAATGCTGGCTGCCTGCTAGAAAGCTAAGAGAGCTCAGCTCTTACACAACACTCCTGCAAGCATCAGGAGGTAACAGAAGTTTCTTAGTAACCCAGAGCCTTCGCTTTACATGAGCCACTAACCAGGAGTGACATGCTGTCTTCCCTGTTATGACTGTTTATTAACCAGATGAGTTTCATAAGCAGTTCCTCTCTTTGCCCATGGACAAGGACAGGTTTGTGTAGAAAGGGAAAGACCTGCCCCCTTAGGCAAGCCACTTTTTTTTTTTCCCCTTACGTTGCCTTGTGATTAAAAGCAAAACCACTTGGACGGGCAACAACTTCGAGTATAAAAGCGGAGGCTAGAAACGTTTGGCCTCTTTCCACCTACTACTGTGCAGAAAAACAAGCAAAGCAGTGGCACAGTGCAGAGAGGAAAGGAACAGCTCTTCTTTCTAGACACCAGAGAGAAAAGGTGCACTGCCCCGGATGCTACAAAACAGCCTTAAAGCCAGGATTTCAGGACGTTCTAAAGGCAGGTGGTAGGAAAATTCCTTTTAGCCTTTATTAAGTCAGCTTAACAAAGCAACTGGAGTAAATAAGGCTAATTCAGTCACCTTTTGATTCTCAGCCACCTGTCCATAAGCAAAACCAGACCTCTAATGCATTGTTAAGCTGTAATATCTACAAGAACACCTCCTCTCCTCTGCAGTATTTTACCCAAGTATCTTGCGAGAAAAAGCCTGTGTCTCTCAGGAAATATGTCCAATTCTGAAGAGGAAGCTGAAGAAGCCATGTGACTTGCACGCAGTCACTTAAATCTGAATCATGCATTCACAGTCCAGCCAGTACACTATGCTGTCTATCAGCCAGCTTGAGAGGCCGGATACTTTGAAGATCTGTGAGATATTCTTGCTTCTCACTAAAGAAACTGAAATCTGGCACCTTCAAGAAATTTTAGAATGTCAACTCAATCTGCCCGAGTGAAACATTTTTCAGACATCTGCTCCTCCCCTTCCTTCTCTTCAAGCCTTTTCATATCATTTTGTTCCTCTTTTAGTGATAAAAGTGGTACAGTTACGGGAAACAAAGGGGTAGCCCTTGAGCCAGGCCAGTCAGCTTCACAGTAACACTGTGTTCTTACTGAGTGAGATGCCTAACACCTGCATTTGTGTGCTTATTTCTTACAGAGCCCGAAGTCTCCACTCTGGGTACTTAACACGCTCTTCTGACTGAATATGTGGGGGCTCATAATTTATAGTTGAGAGCCTAGATTCTGGTTCAGTTATAGGATTTAGGCCTTCTTTAAAGAAGTCGGGTACATAAAGTCATTCAATCATGACACTTCTGGATCTGTGAACAGGTTAAGTTATGCATGCCACGGGATCTGTGACCCACAGAATTTAAATAACTCTCAAAACCTTCTGCCCACGTCAGAGACCAGGGAAGAAATAAAGATCTACTCTCTGATAGTTTGGAACCAATATTAGGTTTTAACAACCCAACAAAAATATTAAAGAACTTTTTCTCCCACTATTTAAGAAACTGCAACACAATTTTTGCTATATGAACAGAGCAATTCTGCAGAGGATTTAGAAGGGACAGCCAATTAGCCTACTTTCAACACCCTAGTTGTGCCCACTGGAGGAGTTAAACCAATAGCAAAAACACAGTACTAATTACTAACCTCCACGATTACATGAAAAAAGAATCTTATTTGTAATACAGCTGGTTTTAAGATGGACATTTTCTGTTATTCTCCTTCAACAAGGATATGGACAAATGCAAAGATGCAACAATACTTGTGGTCAGCAGGCAGACTCAGGCCTGAACACAGCTTTACTGTCCCTTGTTTACAAGGCTTTGATTTCAGTGAGGGCTGACACAAACAGAGCCCGATGCATCTGGGATTTTACAGGAGCTCCTGTGGCAACCAGCCCTCAACAAATCCTCAGACGCTGTACTCACAGCTGCCTTAAACTGACCTAAATATGTGGTCTTGCCACAGGGGTTGTCCCACAACCCTCAGTCTCTCTGGTGCCAACACCAGGTGCTCATCAGCTGTCTAGCTCCTTTGAAAAAACAACGGGCACTTGTTTTCCTTTGCTTTCACAGAGCCAGGTTCCAGCAGGACTGGCTCCCTGGCTGGCTATGCGAGCAGCCCCAGTGCTCACAGGAGGAAAAGGGAGCACTGGGCCGTCCCCCTTCCAGTAGGGCCCAGCCTTACGGTGGCGAGCCCTCTGCTCACTCCCAGACAACCAGCCCACCCTCACCTCAGGTCTGCAACACCTATGGCAGCATGGCTCTTAGCCAAGCAGCGGTCTTTGACATACGGTTTGCAGAGGCAGGAGCACCGGCCCTCCCCCTCTGCCCCACCATGGATGCAGCAGGGAGTCTGTCTAATGCCACTATTTATTCATCAGAGCTGCACTTTGAACGGGCACCAAGGCTGTGCTGGCTGCCAGAGAGAGCTTTGGTTTAAGCAGTCTGTCCTTCAGGGGAGGAAGGACCAGCCTGGTCACTCTCACCTCCACCTACCCAGCACAGCGGGAAAGAAGAGAAAGCTTCTGCCCTGGGGGCTGGCTTGCCAAACAGAAAGGGAGCCACAGAGCACCAGGCAACCAAGAAAGGGGTGTTACAAAGCCAAACTGTTTTCCGATATCATTTCACCAGTTAAACTAAGGGAAGGGGCCTTGCAGAAATGATTTCTGCCTCCCAAGGATGCTGGGTACCCCATAATGGAAAGCACGGGAACCTTCTTTCCTAGTCGTGCGCGTGACACCAAATATATCGGTGCATACTGACTGTGTTTTCCTAGACTGAGCTGAAAAGGGGGAAGGACAGTTCAGGAAAGGAAAGCATGGAGGGCTGAAACAAGCACACTTCCCTTCTGGCTATAGCAACAGGAGGAGCTTTCGGGGTGGGGTACAAATGCAAGCTGTATCTATGTTCACAGATAGAGCTATAGAGCATGGTCTACCAAACACAGTAAACGAAGCAGATGAACAATACGTGCCAGACCACCATCAAACTGATCCAGTAGGTTGCAGGGCATCAGGCAAGGTTTTCCTCTTTTCCTCTGTGGATGGATTCAAACCATTAGGTCCCGTTCAAAAATCATATTATTTTTAAGAGCCAAAAGACCAAACTCTCAAAACCGTATGGCAAAAATGAAAGGGGACAAAAACTAGATCAGTAGTAAGTACTTATAATGGAGCAGCTGAGGTGGGAATATGACTCCTGCTTTACAGCAGTCTTGTGAAGCCTGCAGGAGAGAAGGAGTCACCATTTCTCTTGTTCCAGATGTCCTTCGTGCAAGGGACCTCCTTCCTCAACTGCGATAAATCAGCTTTATGGATTTTGATGAAACTGGGCCAATTCACACTAACATTAGGATCTAGCCTCAGTTTGCCTTTTCATTTCATGCTGCAATATCACTGTGCTGCAAACAAACCTAAATCCTTTGCTTTGCATTTCATCCATCACAAATAATACCAGTACAATATACAGCACAGAACAGCTGCTACAGGCTGGCAGAATACTTAATAATCCACCTGAGAGTTAAAATGCCTGCTTATATGTATTGTTCTCTTTGGTGGCAATTAGATGAAGAGAATTAGTTTTCCTTTGCTATGTTTAGATCAAGGGGAAGCTTTGGGCTGACACTGACAGCCCGATTCTCTTCCAAGTTTCGGCTGTAGTAATCACTGCTGTTGGCAAATACGAAGAAGAGGAAAAAACTTTGAAGAAATCCTAAGCGGTGGGGCCAAAATTAGGAGGAAAGATTTCCAGGTTCTTGCCCATAAATAAAACCAGAACGTGCATGCTGCTAAAATGACCAGGGGTCTTGGAACACCGTCTCAGTGGTCAAAAGAAAACTTGCAAATGCCATTCACTTTCAGCCCCAGAATGCAAAAATAACAAAACATGAGATACTATGGGAAGTTGTAAGAATTTGTAGCCCTCTTTCTCCTTTTTAGGGCACGCCAACATAGCTGAACCAGCACTACTTTCTTTTGCCCCACATGAAAGGCACGGCATAGCCCCAAAGGGTTATTTTGCTGGCAGAGCTGAAATCAGACCCTCCCCAAGAGCCTCAGAAGGATTATTTGCCAGCAAATAATACACTAGCAGTCAACTTCTCGTCACAGCATAAAAGCGCCACAGCCCTGCAGACCTACTTACACCAGTAAAACCTCAAAGCCTGGGTCAGCCTTCACGCGCAGGAGCAGCTACTCGCGTTGGTCCTAATGCTGCCAGGGGCATCTGAGCCAGCAGGCGCTGGAGGTGACACACCAGGGACACCCAAGGACACCTGTCTTGGGGCTGGGTTCCCGCGTCCTACCCGAGCGCC